AACATATAAAGATAAAAGTCCGGTTGGACTGAAACGTTGACACATTTCCTGTGAGAATTTTGTTGCTGCAATAAAGAAGCACTATTTTTTGAATCACATCGAGACCTGTGAGTGCTCTCCTTCAAGCATTTAAAATTACAGGTGGAATTAGCACCCAGGCATTAACAAGACGGGAGCATTGAGTGCAGGACACGTGGAGATTATATATATATATATATATATATCAAAATACACCTAGAATGAAATTATATATATATATATATATATATATATAAAAATAAATAAAAAAAATACAATATATATATATATATATATATATATATATATATATATATATATACATATACATAATTACATAAATAATTTCATAAACATACACAGAAACTTTGTGCTTGGGAAACTTTGCTGAATACAAATATTAGTGTTTCAAAACAGTAAAACATATAACAACAATGATATTGTCAGGGAAAATTAGACGTTTTGCATTTTTAACACACAAACGGCACTTTCACTGATAATATCATTGTTGTAACACGTTTTACTGTTTTGAAACACTAATATTTGTGTTCAGTGAAGTCTCCCGAGTGTAACAGTACCACTCATGTACAGGTTTTATAGTGTTTGTGAAAGTTACAGGGTCAAATATAAGGCTTGATTTTACTTCTTTTTTTTTATTATTGAAATTTGTCCGGTTGGTTAGGTTGCCTTTGAGAGTGTATGGTAGCCCAGGAATGAGAATAATAAAATTGGAAAACGGTCTGGTCACTAAGGAATTAAGAGACCAGTGTTGAGGGTATACCCGGATACCCCCACACGTCCAAGGTTCTGAACCACCTATGGACTCAAAACCTCCCATTACCCTAACCAACTGTATAACCCCAATTCTATTCCACCACTCCTTTTTACCTACCCCTTCCTCCTTTTCTAACTCCAGAGTCCCTATCCCCCCTTTATCCTTCCCCTTACAAGCCCGCCACTGTGACCAAGCGGGGCAGAAACAAAACAACCCAATTCCTAAGGGTGGGAGGAAGGGACAAACCCACGTTGGTGAGTACATTAAATTGCCTATTCGTAAGATGACTGCCCCTGTATATGTGCCCCTACCCCTGTAGCCCCAATCTACCAATCTTGGCACCAATTACCACCTCTTAGCCCTGTCAGAGCCCCTTTCTACTAAACCGCGCTCATTCCAAGGGGCAACAATACTTTTTGTCTCCTGTTTTCAACAGGGTTAATGTGAAGAAAACATTAAAAAAGCCTGTTGCTAAATCTGTTTGTTTGGTCTTCTCTCTTTAACAGTGTTGACACGCTCTGTATTTTACCTGACATTTGACTTTCGGGTCGATATAAGAGAATGTTTAAATTGAAGTGAGTGACCTTTTCTTTTCTTAACTAAACATAGAGTTTCTTGCAGTAATTTTCAGTCTCCTCTACTAACCTCTTGTCTCCTTTTAAGGAAAGATAAGGAACGTGTGTAAGCCTAACAATTTAAACAGTGTATTTACTAATATACCCAGTGTAATTAGAATGTTTAAACTAGAAATATTTTTTTTTTTTTTTTGTATTCTGCATACTTGGGTAAGCTATATTGTCAACTAATATTAAATATTTCAGAATGTATTAGCAGTGCATACAACATACATGAGTTTATTTATAAAGGATTTATGTGTGGGATACAATCTCTGCAAATTAGCATGGTCCCGGTATTCCCTTCTGGTAATTGGCATTTACTATAAACATATTTGTTTATGCCTGACAAATAGTGTTTCTTATACCATTTACATATTGTATTAAATAGCCTCAATATGTTTTCCAAATATTTTATAGAACATACATATTTAAAATGTATAGATTTGCAAAATTGTACTTTAACCCTTTTTAAACCTTTTTAAAAAATCTTCTTTTTCAATTAAGACTGTCCTGTTGGGCATTATTACATTTATTTCCTCCCCTTAAAGAAACAGGAAATTACCATATATACTCGAGTATAAGTCGACCCGAATATAAGTCGAGACCCCTAATCTTACCCCAAAAAACTGGGAAAACTTATTGACTCTAGTATAAGACTAGCGTGGGAAATGCAGCAGCTACTGGTAAATTTCTAAATAAAATTAGATGCCAAAAAAATTATATTAATTGAATATTTATTTACAGTGTGTGTATATAATGAATGCAGTGTGTGTGTGTACATAATGCAGTGTGTTTGTATGAATGCAGTGTGTGTGTATGAATGCAGTGTGTGTATGAATGCAGTGTGTGTGTATATAATGCAGTGTGTTTGTATGAATGCAGTGTGTGTGTATGTATGAGTGCAGTGTGTGTGTGTGTGTGTGTGTATGAGTGCAGTGTGCGTGTATGAATGCAGTGTGTGTGTGTATGAATGCAGTGTGTGTGTGTGTATGAATGCAGTGTGTGTGTGTGTGTGTGTGTGTGTATGAATGCAGTGTGTGTGTGTGTGTGTATGAATGCAGTGTGTGTGTGTGTGTGTGTGTGTGAATGCAGTGTGTGTATGTGATGCAGGCCTTGGTGGTGGATGGGCATTTTTTTTATTATTATTATTATTATTATTATTTTTTATTTACATTATTAATATTTTTTTATTTTAATATTATTTAATTTTATATTTATATTTTTTTCGTCCCCCCTCCCTGCTTGTTAGCTGGCCAGGGAGGGGGCTCTCATTCCCTGGTGGTCCAGTGGATGGGCTGTATAGGAGGGGGGCTGGCAGGAAGCTGTAACTTACCTTTCCTGCAGCTCCTGTCAGCTCCCGTCTCCTTCATTGTAAGTCTCGCGGTGTGAGTTCCTGGGACTCTTCTTTATGCCTCCCTGACAGCCAGGGCATCCTATAGGTGACTTAGGCAGTTGCCTAGGTCGCAACGGCCCGGGGGGCGCAAGATTCGAGTGACCCGGCAAGAGGGAAGGGCACAGTGCTCCCTCCTGCCAGCCACTCAGTGTAGCTTGGCTGGGCAGCGTGGACTGCGGTACAGGAGCTTCTGCTTCCTGTGCCCAGTGGGACTGAAGGAAAGTGCTTTCTCAGTGGCCATGCTGCAAAGAGATAGGAGGCTCAACAGGGAAGGGATGGGAGACTGCACTAAGGGACAAGGGGAAGCAGGAGAGGAGAGATCACAAAGGGAAAGATGGGGGTGGGGAGGGATGGGGAAAGATGGGGTGGGAGGAGAGACCACCAAGGGAAAGATGGGGGTGGGGAGAGGAGAGACCACTAAGGGAAAAATAGGGGTGGCAGAGGAGAGACCACTTAGGGAAAGATGAGGGGAGAGAGAATGGGGATGGAGAGGAGAGACCACTAAGGGAAAGATGGGGGAAGGAGAGACCACAAAGGGAAATGGCCCCCCATGGTCAACTGAGGGAAATGGACCACTGAGGGAAAGATGGGGGTCAGAGGAGAGACCATTAAGGGAAGATGGGGGTGGGGAAGGAGAGGCCACTAAAGGAAACATAGGGGTGGGGTGGAGAGACCACTAAGGGAAAGATGGGAGTGGGGAGAGACCACTAAGGGAAAGATTAGGGTGGAGAGACCACTAAGGGAAAGATGGGAGGAGACCACTGAGGGAAAGATGGAGGGAAGAGACCACTAAGGGAAAGATTGGGGGGGAGACCACTAAGGGAAAGATGGGGAAGGCAGGAGAACTCTGTGGGAATGGGAGGGATACAGGGGAGAGCAATAAGGGTCAGGGGGAGCAATAAGGGTCAGGGGGCAGGGGAGAGAACTAAGGGACAGGGGAACAGGGGAGAGCACTAAGGGATAGTTGGGGGTGGGAGAGCACTAAGGGACAGGAAGGGAGGGGTGAGCACTAAGGGACAGGAGGGGAGAACACTAAGGGACAGGAGGGGAGACCTTTAAGGGGCAGGGGAAGAAGTGGAGATGAGACCACTAAGGGGTGGGGGAAGTGGAAGAGATCATTAAGGGAGGGGGGAGTGTAAGACACACCAAGAGGCTGAGGAAGGGGTGAAAGAAAAGCACAGAAGGGCTGGTAGGGCAGATATAGACACACAGAGAGGTTCAGGAGAGAGACAAACAGAGTCGCTTGTGAGGGAGACACACAGACGAGCCTGGGGGAAAAGAGACACACCAAGGAGCTGGGACGAGTAAGACACAAAGGGGCTTGGGGAAGTAAGACACGCAAAGGGGTTTGGAACATGTAGGAGACATACAAAGGGGGGGGAGGATAAGAGACACACAAGGGGCTTGTAAGAGACACACTAAAGGGCGAGTGTAAGACACAAAACTTAAAGCAAAATATATTTTAAAAAATATATTAACAAAAAAAACAGAATAACAAAAATAAAGAGTT